CCTACATTTTCCCAATGTTTTGAAATATATGGTTGAGGGACGCACTCTAGTCGACTAATTATTAACTAGTTATGTACCCATGCAATGCAACGGAATGTAAGATTCAAATGAAAATAAACAAATACGTAAAATATGAACATGTTTTTGCAAAATAAAGCACAGTCGGTTCCATCTCACGTAGAGTGTGAGAATTGGTAAGGAAAAAAGTGGTGTTACGGTTATGAAAAACAATTTTCCAAATATATAATTATGTATTAGATTTCATATACACACTGAACCATAATCTTACAAAACAAAAATGAAATTAAATTAGGTGCCGGACATAAAGATATCTTTCTTGAATTTGGATTGCAAGTTGTTGAAAGAATGATGAATGACATCGTCTTACACTTCATATTTGGCTTTTTCAAGTCCATGTTTGGAAATGACATCGTCTTACACTTCATATTTGGCTTTTTCAAGTCCATGTTTGGACCTTTAATCATGTTTTCTTCTTCATTGTATTCTTCTCCTATCCCTCTAAGTCTTACAGTTTTGTGTTGTTTTCAATTAGATCAACTTATGACTTAGGGGTCGTTTATCAAACATTTATCCGGTAAGCACTTACTGGTAAAATTCAATATTGTTATTTACTTGTCGGGTAAGATTTTAGTCAAAAAAACTACTTTCTATGTAACAATTTACCCGGTAAGAGCTAAGAGTGGTAAGAGTCATTGTCCTCACTTACCGAATAAGACTATCGGTATTTGCCTTGTTCTTACCGGGTATGATTTTTGGTCTTTATCATATTCATCCAGTAAGATAATATAACTTGGTAAACACTTACCCATGTAAGCATTTGGTAAACGGCCCCTTAGAAAGAAAATTGCATGATTAAATAAGTATACGTAAGAATCAACATTAAATATCTTGTATTTAAAAGTATAATATGTTTATCACTTACTCATCATTTAACTTTATGGAATTCATATGCAATTTTTAAAAAGTTATATGTAAAAACGTGAAGGAGAAATTGATAATAGGAAATCAATAAAATGTTTATAAGTAAAACACTATTTAGGATGCATATTTACAACTCCA